CAGAATTATGATATCGATGACCTAAGGTCAGGTCAATTTTGCGACCTCCCCATTATAAGTCAATGGGAGAAAATTGAAATGCGCCTCTTTTGGACGAAACACATTATAAACACTCCCAAACACTGAATTACAACTAATTTAGACACACTGAACATGAAAATGGTGTCAGTGACCCCTGTTTATGCCCTGAGGTCATCTTAGGTCACGAATGGTATCTAACAGTTTTTCGCAAATAACTTTTGATAGAGGCATGCTAGAGCGATGAAAACGCATTAGATGTGTTCAGCTCGACGATACGGATCGACTGATATGCAATATGACCCTTTCAGGTCAGGTCATGACCTTGACCTGAGGTCAAATTTTCAAGTTGACCTTTCAAGGTCAAGTTATAGTTCATTCGATGCGCCTTGACGAGAGGAACACGATGCCGGTAAAAGTAAGCTCGTGCAAGGCTTGGGTCAAAAGTTATTGCAGAAAAACTGTTTCCGAAAAAATCGGCTATTTTTGCAGTTTTTGCCCCCTGCAGGCAAAACCGTTGACGTTAGGTCAAACCAGAGAGCATTACTCAGAAAGGGCGTTAATAGGGCTACCGAATGCGCTTTTCCGCGGCGCTGTAGCTCTATTGGTTCCCGAGTTATGCGTTGGCATCTTGGAAATTGTCGACATTCGACCTGGAAATCGGCGAAATTTTGCCTTCAATGACCTCTGGTGACCTGACCTTTGACCTGACCAAAAAATTGACTGAAGTGATTTCGTCATTATTTTTGACGCTCTTTCGAACGCCGCCTTCCGCGTATCGCTACGTGGCCCAGGAGCCGAGTTAGAAGGGGGGGGGGTGTTCAGACACCCCCCCCCCCAGCAGGGCGTGGAAATCCAGGACCCCCAGCCGGGCGCGGGTTAACTGGGGGGGCCGCGGCCCCCCCAGTCATGCCGCTGGCCCCCCCAGTGGAGCTGAAATCGCATCACTGGGGGGGGGCCACGCAGGTAAGCAAATCACGTATGAAAAACGAGGAAATTTCACTATAAGCTTACCAAACAAACAATCCAGATTATCTCCACCGATCACCACGTTACTAATTTTAGTTTCCTTATATCGTTGGTTTCTTATCTACAGGGTTTTTTTACTGAGATCCGCCTAGGATGAGCAGCGGAATCAGGGCAGACAATGCAGATTTTATAATCGAACGCCGACTGAAGCCCGGACGGGGCATCACTTTGAGAAGGAAACAGCCCGAACGGTCGCCCTCTACAGTCTCAATCAGTCAAGCGCTTATGGTTCAACACGGAGAAGTATTATGATTTTTTTTCGGGAGACGGGTTTATTCTTGCACAGGAAATTTTTCTACGGTCAAATAAGAGTGCAGCTGAGCTTTATAGCACGATATAAAAGTTTTTTTTCCAGTGTTTGGGACTAGCAGCGATAAGCCCTCTCACTTATTGAGGGGTATGATAGACCCTACCCCTAGTTTTTTTTTTGCGAATAACTCGCATAAAAAGTGGCCCAGCGTGGCAAACGTTTTAGTTGGTATTCTCGTGATTACTTCAATTCTACACATTTCCTGAAAATGTAATTACCCTGTTCCCTGACCCTCATTCTCATTGACCTGTGGCCTGTTTCTTGAGTCATTTCCAGGCAAGTAGCTTTTTAGGATGGTGAGCTGTTTTTAGGCAGGTAGCTGTTGGTTTCCAGCGTTTGGGAAATCGATACCTAAGACCTCTCACTTTCTGCGGTCGGTTAGATTCCTTACGCACTGCTGTGCCGTTCAATACTTTTTTTTAATAAAGGCATTTTATTTCATTTTCGGATAGCCGGAAATTTTCTTCGATTTCGGACGCTGCGGGGGATATTTACCCCAAATGTCACCCTGCCCGTGCCGGTCTGGAATTGGATCCACCGGTATAGGGTCAGGTGGCCTACTATTTCTTTATTTTTTTTTTAAATAAAAATAAAAATCATGGCATCAGGGCTGTGACGAAAAATAAGTGGCCTAAATCCGATGAGAAAACCGGATTTGGGGGTACCCCAGGTTTGGGCTCTGAGCCTCTGGCCCCCCCAGTGAAAATTCCTTAGAGGAGGCCCTGGTCCTTACATAACATTCGTATAAATATTAGTACTGTATGGTATAACATTAACCCGCACCCCGCTGGGGGTGGGGCAGAATCTGCCCCCCTCCCGTTTTTCGCCAATAACGTCTTAACGCGTTACGCCAGCGACGTCAAACTTTCAGTATCTTATCATACATCAATTTGACACGTTCCCTGAAAATTTGAACGAAATCCGTCGGAAAATTTTTGAGAAATTGACGTTTTAGTGATGTCATGTTCGCCATTTTCGCCTCAAAAACGGCAAAATTTCAAACGCCGCTAACATCTTCATTTTTAAAGGAATCAAGACGTAACAAAAAAGGTTATACGTGATTCCACGTTGTCTATCAAATGACAATCTCGGTTTTTTGAAAATTTTGGATTTTGGCCTAAAAATTTTCAAAAAACTGATTTTTTTGGGAAAATAGTTATAAAATTTAAAATTTTGAGTGTATCGAAAAAACCGGAATATATGTCAGAGAAGTGGTCAATGTGCATCTACATACCAATTTTCAGAAGAATCGGTTCAAAAATGTGGGAGTTATTCAAAATTTTATGACGTCACGACACACAAAATTTTTGAAAAATGATTTTTTTGGAAGTTCTAGACCTCGTACGGAAACAAAAATAGCACCATTCGATTCGCCGTGAAAAACTGCATCAGATAGACACCTTTTTGGGCCTTAACAACCAACTTCAAAATTTGACCTCACTTGACCTGACCTTGACCTGACCTCGACCTGAAATTCATCCAGAGGCGGTCCATATCACTTATTGAGTGTGCCTATTGAATTCTATGAGTAAAATGAACCATAAAACATGTGTCGCACAAGCCCTTTTCTATATTTTGTTTTTGGTGACCTGACCTGACCTGACCTGACCTTGACCTTGACCTTTGAATGACATTGTATGCAACGAATATTGTCTTGGTAGTCTAAGAACACGTTTTGGGCAATCAGTCTCAGTCCATTCTTCGGCAACTACGGTGCAAGGCCGATACTGTAGAAACTTGCATTTTGTACCCTTGACCTGACCTTGACCTGACCTCTGACCTACTTAAGCAAAAAAAATTGGGCTCTTAAGATCCGCCTTGTTGAGAGCTTTCGATTACCGTTTTCCCCGTCTTTCTACGACCATCGGTTCGGAAGTTAGACAGGGGGGGCAGAATCTGCCCCCCCCCCAGCAGGGCGCGTATGGCTGAATAGCCCAGCGGGGCGCGGGTTAACAGCGCAAGATATCTCACTTTTTAGCTAAAAACCTTAAAATATCATTTTTGCGCTATAACTTTAACAATATGCATTTTTTGTCAGACTTAACTTTTTTGCTGGCGTTACCTTAGCTGCCACGCTGAAAGGACAAACAGTTGAGCATTTTATTGTGAATAATTTAGCCGGAAACGGGGTGGCCGGGCTTCCCCCGCGCCCAGGCCTCCCCCGGCTTCCCCTAGAACAAGAATGGACAACGTGCCTTTGAGCGGTTTCGGCTCGATCGGATCGATAGCGAGCGCGTGGCGGGTGCCCAAAAAGTGCAAATTCGCGTCATAGACTTTACATGTATTAATCGGCCTGCAAAATCGGGCGAAAATGGTTAAATTTGCCCGATACGGGTCCGGTCCCCGTGCAACATCTCGTTAACCGTGGGTCCGATCGGCACGGGGAAAACAGCATCGTGTAGAGAATCGAACGGGCTATCGAATGGTGTGCGATGCGGAGGATGGCACGTGCCACGTGCACATGTGAGGGCAATTCCATTTCAAAAAGTGCCGTTTTAAACGGATTTTGGATTTCATTTTATTTTCACGTGACCGCCAGACAGCGTGAGTTGAAACAACGCCTACCTACTGGCAAGAGAAATGTACCGCCTCTCGTGGAAAAATTGTGAAAAGCTAATTGATCAAAAACAAGGTGGAACAAATCGCTGGAGAAAATGACATTTGTCCATAATGTGCCACAAAATAATTACACGGGTTTTGCTGCTTAACCTGATACGTTTGACAATTGAAAATGCTATCATTAGAAAGAGCATTCAATTCTCTCCAAGATCCAATCATCACGTTTGCATGACAAGCAGCAGTATTCTTTAAAATATTAATGTTTCAAACCTCTGCAAAACCATTTTTAGCGAAAATTAGCTACGCCTTTCATTTGTCATAAAAACCACGCACCTGAATTATAAAACACATTTGACAGGGTCACTGAACTATTGACAGGTTCTGAAGTAGAAAGCATGCTTATCAGACACGGGCACCTCGATCTGATGGATATTTTTTCCAAACCAAAACGTTTAGCCATCAAAAAGCAATCGACCGAAATGGATAGATAACCCAACCGACACAAGAACAACCAAACACCCGCCGATCGAAAATACCCCTTTTCGCGTTGCGGAGCACGCGGGTCACCCTAGTTATTCCTATTTCTAGTCAGACTTCAGAATTAATGTCAAAAATCTGGAACAAGTGGGTATATCAAATAATGCATCATCAGACCCACATTTGCTCCCCATCCTGTTTAGTACAAAATGGAAATATTATCGGCTGAGAAATACTTAATGTTAAGGCTAGTAGAAAGTTGTGCCTAGTTTGACATACGTGTACTATTGCAAAAGAGCAGGCTTGAATTAGGGCAATTATGGCGCAGTAAATAAAATGTATTCTTCTTGTTTGAATCTGAATACGTCATTAGACAAAAGAGCAATACAAGCAAAATATTGACAGAGTATGTGTCATCCTCACATATTTTCGATTTTTTTTGCAAACAGAACCAGCGATAAATCAAACAAAACAATTTTTCTGGAAATTACATGTTGCAATAAATTATGGTTTGTTTCCGACGCGACGATTTGTTGAAATATTATGACGTAATAGAACGTAACAAAATCACGATCGAAAGGAAAGGAGTTCTCATTCTCATATTTTCGCTCGCTCCATTTCGAGGCTGGTGGTGTTGGTGGTGTGGTCGAGGTCCGTGCTTCGTGAATAAATTATCACGATATAGGGGCTTTCTGTCGAATTTTGTGCCCCTTATTAGACGTGCAAGTGCTGATTGGTATCAGAAAGCTCAATTAGCTGCAGTTGCAGTGATCAAACGTGTTTTGCGATCAAAATGAAGGAAAACGAGCCAGTCACTCATGATGCCAAGTCACTTTGCAAAGCTTTTTTGGCTGGAGGTAAGCATGTTTTAAGTGATGTTTTTGAGCTGTTAGAATTTGAATACCAATAACTTATGGTAACGGTGGGGCAGGCGTCACCAACAGCGTTCTGTTCTTCGTATCACAAATTGTTGTCCATCAGTTTTGAGGCAAAACAAATAAACAGAACCTAACCAAACCTAACCTAACCCTACCTAAAATGGCATTAGTAGAGCAGACGTCACACGAAGGTTTTCAAACTGAGGAGAGGCACTGTAGGTTTGTAGGTTGTAGGGTAGGTTTGTAGGTTTGTAGGTTGTAGGTTTTTAGGTTGTAGGTTTTTAGGTTGTAGGTTTGTAGGTTGTAGGTTAGGTTAGGTCAGGTTAGGTTAGGTTAGGTTTGTTTAGGTTTTGTTAGAAAGAAGCACCTCCGGGTATAGCGCCTCTCCTTGGTTGGAAAACCTTCGTGTGACGTCTGCTCTACTAATACCCCTAAAATAACCTTATCAAACCTATCCTAGCCTTGAATTGTCCCAATAAGACAAATTTTCAAAATTTTCAACGGACGAAGTTAGGTAGGGTTAGGTTAGGTTTGGTTAGGTTCTGTTAATGGTGACGCCTGCCCCACCGCTACCGAACTTATTGCATGATATTTCTGTCTATACCAATATTCCATAGAAATGATCATGTGAAATGGGCACATTCAGCCATAAATGTATTATTTATTTATTTTCATTAGGTATCTGTAATATCAATTTTAACCCACACCAAAGCTATGTAAACCAGGTGAATGCTCTTAACGCAAAAGTGTTGGAAAATGAAATTAGTAGCTGTGATTGGGGCAAACCAGGTGGCCAGTAGGTGACGAAACATGATGGCATGAGACAGGGGGTCAAATTGTTGTCGGTATTTAATGCTCATTGCAATTACTGCAGCAGCAATTGCTCTGGGTACTGGGTAGATTATTGTTCTCCTATTCCCAGGTGTGTTGGGAGGACCACTCCAGTTTCTCCAAGACTGACTGTTTCTCTCATGTTGCCAGGTGTGGCAGGAATGTGCGCCAAGACCACGGTGGCGCCGCTGGACAGGATAAAAATCCTCCTGCAGGCCCACAACAAGCACTATAAGCACCATGGTGAGAGCTACCGACTGTCCGTCCAAACACTAACAATTAACCTGTGACTTAGGTAGATCCAGCAAGCGGACATATCTCTTTCTCCAAATTAAAAAAAAACTCGGATTTCACTTTGATAGAACAGCGTAAGAGGTTAAAACAACTTTTTAAATAAAAGCTGCTTGGTGTTTTGTCTGTTCTAAAAACAACAAATTTTCATCAATTTCAAGCGCAGGCGGCAGCAAACCCTTGGATTTGCCATTGGCCTGTGATGTGATCAATCCTGCACTGTGGTGGTGCCAGGTGAAGCAAAGTGTTAACCCAGGTGATGTCACTTGTGCACGGTCCAGCGCCTTCCCATAATGGAATAGTAAACTGCCGCATTATTTATTTTTTGGTCCGACAATGAGCCTTGCCTAACATAATTCTCAAAATTCATATTTACATCAGGTTGCCAAACTGTTCAGTGGTAACTCAACCTTCCTGTGTCTCGGCAGGCGTATTTAGCGGCCTGCTGAACATTGTCCGTCAGGAACGGTTCCTGGCCCTCTACAAGGGCAACGGCGCCCAGATGGTGCGCGTGTTCCCCTACGCCGCCACTCAGTTCGCCGCCTTCGAGATCTACAAACAGGTCAGTCAGCTGAGCCGGCGGACGGGGACAAGGCCGAGGGGCAGGTTCGAATCTGTGTAGGGATGGTGTTTTAGACGAGCTCGCTGTAATTGAGCTGGGACGCATATTGTTAGTTTGGTTTTCTAGGCGGGGTTTTGAACATTCATGAACAATGTAACCCTAACGGCCTAACGTCGGTCACTTGACTAGTAAATAATGCGGTCCCTGGTCCAATCCTGGTCCAATCGGTGAACCCCAATCCTGGCTACAGACTGTGGGAACGTGCGTCACGTCCACCGGTACCGCCGTGTTCAATAACCGCACCATCATCGACCAACTACTGAGCCCTTCCGCCAGAAATGGCCTTCCGAAACCCGGCGTATGATAGTGTGCAATGATGAGCGTCACCAGACGTGTGGAATGACCTCAGGGGCAACAATAGGGACTATAGTTCGTTTTTTTTAAGGACTCTGGCTCCAAGCATGTTTTTCGAAAAAGCACGCGTTTTAGCGAGCAAAACGAGCAAAAACTGAACCTGAGAAACTCGAACGTCGCCTTATTTTAACATGTGAAGTATTCCCAATAAATTCCATACGTGCGTTTTGGAAACAAGATATGAGAACAATGGTAACGTCATGCTGTCGAACTTCTATTGCAATGTAACGTATAATAACTGTCATGGACGAAACCGCTTACTGGATTATAACCGCGGCAACAGTGAAAAACGAAGTTTCCCCCAAATTCGTCGAAACTTTGTCCCATGGTACGGACATTGGGTGTCCCAAAATTTGCGAGTTTGGGTGGGAAGTGACATCCAGTTCAAAATAATTTTTCACTCACCTCCAATTTTCCAGAGCAATTTTTCACTCCCTATTTTATTAATAAAGAGCATCTGTGTGTCCGCCTGTGTACCTTTTACCTCCTGCCACAGTCCATAGGTACTCCATTCAATTATCTTGTAAAGCGCTCTCACATCCTCCAACATTGAAAAATAAACTGCTGACCCTGTTTTAAGCTCTTTTTTGTGCCGTTCTGGCCGGTGATTTTCCACTCTCAGCCCTCTTTGTAATGACAAATATTCCCCTCCGACACCCTAGCTAAAATATAATTTTGGGACACTGTTGGGTGCCTGCTGCCACCAGCGACGTCATCATAGTATGCTTATTTTTCAAGACACAATTTCCGGGTACTTACCGTGCACAATTTGAAATCGAATATTTTTTCGGTAAGAAATTCTTGGCCAGACGCTGAAGCTGCCAAAACTCACGTGAGAGCTTTGATAAGGAACTTGGAGCCAGCGTCCTTTTGAAAAAACGAACTATTTTTCCCCTGTGATCGTGTGGGTGCTGGTACTACCATTTTCTTGCCGATATGCCCTTACATCTGGCCTCCACCAAGGCCCGTTTGCGATGTGCGTTAACTTCGGAGGTGGCTCCGCTCAGCGTTGGTGTCCGAGCACTACTACTCCGATTCTCAGCCAGTAGATGTCACCAGGGTAGAGCGCTTTTTTCCCACGTTAATGACCTTCTCCCCCTCCTCATTTCACGGCCCTTACGATAACGACGTTTGGTTACTGCGCCGGCGCGGCGGGCGGCGCCGACTGAGGGAGATCATGGTGTGTAAACACCGCGCGGAAGGAACACGTCTCTCGACAAGCCTTCCCGGCGCCGTCCTTAGCCTGGTGTAGGTACTTCCTACCCAGTTAGAACGAAACTGATTATTTGATATGGATACATGTTATCGAATATTGAGTCTGCCGCAGCTCTAGTCACAAGAATGCGTCTGATATCCTCACATGATTGACCTGACGGCATTGTTTTAGTGAAATGCAGTGCTAGATTCACATTGCTACCTGCTACACATACTACCAGTAAAACGCCTTATAGGACGACAAACGGAGCGAGCGAGAGGGTGGGCCTTGCACGTGGGAAATTGTGAGGGGGTACCTCCAACTGACTTGTGCACGGTACCCTACTAACCGGTCTCTAGCAATGTGCCATATTTGACCGCTGTGCCGCAGCAGCTTTAGCCTTCCAGTCCGGCAGCCAGATGCACATCGATGTTTTCAAACAAAAATATCAAACAAGTCCAACAAAGATCATGAAAAATATGTCAATGTCGCTCAGAAGAAACGTCTCCAACGTCCCAACGATCCGGCCAAAAGGGTTAGCAGATACGTCCGGCGTTCTCTCGCGGAGACAGATGGGGACTACGGACCCGGCTGTGCAGCACCCGACTTAGAGGACCGCGATATTCAGCAATATTAGCTCAAAACAAAGGAGTTCTTAGACAGCCTTGGAAGCACTGCTGTGGAGCGTGCCCAAATCGCTGAGAACATTGCTGATGACAAGGAAGAGTGGCACCGCGAGCGACGCAAACGCGTCACTGCGACAACCTTTCACCAAATAGCGAATATGCGAGACTCAACGTCAAACAAAAACATCATGAACAGACTTCTTTACGATACAACAAAAGATTTAGATACACCTGCTCTGCAGTATGGCCGCGTCAACGAGGAGCTAGCTATACAAGCATATGAAAAGCAAACAAACACTGAAGTGAACAGACCAGTTGGGCTGGCAGTGCACCCGAAGCATCCATTTTTGGCCGCCATTCCTGATGGAATCGTTTCTGATGACATCATAGTAGAAGTGAAATGTCCCAAAAGTGCAGAGAACACTTCACTGGAAAGACTGGCTGCGTCTTCTAGTGGACTAACTAGTTTTTTTTCTTGACGACAAACTTGAGCTAAAAAAGAGTCACCAATATTACACCCAAGTTCAGTGCCAGTTGGCTTGCACTGGTGCAAAGTTCTGTGACTTTTTTGTCTGGACACCAAACGAAACGTCATGTCAGCGCATAGCTGCTGACGAAACGTTCATCGCAAACAGACTGGAAAAAGTAAAGCCATTTTATGATGAGTGCATCGTGCCTGAAATGATAGATCCCCGCAAAGCACGACACATGCCGTTCCGTGAGCGGTCAAGGTATAGGGAGCCCAAGGGCAAAGACGCGAAGAAAAAAAAACATACAGGATGAGGCGACTATAAAAAAATCATCACGTGCAGGACGACGCCCATCATGGCAAAAAAAAGGTAAAAAAGGGAGCGACTCACAACAGTGAATGAGACTTCGATGTAACATATCATTGGCTCAGATGTCGACCACGCATCAGCTAAGGTAATTTCAGCAATCGTGTCAAAACTGAAGCATTCGCTCAGCATCATGCCGATCTCATTTTGTGCTCCTTGTTCTGTGTCAGTTTCGTGTCATGTACGAATGCAATATGTCAATGCATGCCATGGATGCAATATTATGTACCGGTTATTACGAGCGAGCGAGCGCAGCGAGCGAAGCGAAGTCTTTTCAATATAAGGGGAAAATCTCGGTATGAGCGGCCCGGCCCGGCCCGGCCCGGCCTGTAACGCTTTTGAGAGGCTTATATCTCAGCAACCGCTGGACCGATTGGCCTGCGGTCTTTTTTGCTGGGTAGCCCCATCCCTTCTACCCCGTAATTGACTACTTTTGATACACCTCAGTGACCGTCGTGGCACGTGTCACGTGAAAAGCCAAGGGTGTTGAAGCTGTTTTGCAAAAGTAGTGATTTTGATAGGCTCATATCTCAGCAGCCGCTTGGGCGATTGACTTGCGGTAATTTTTGTAGGGTAGCAGCATCTCTTATACCAAAAATAGGATACTCTCGATGCATGTGGGTCACCCCCAGTGCACGTGCAAAATACAACAATAAGAGGTGTCAAATTTGTTCCCATTTTTACGAGCGAGCGAGCCCAGTGAGCGAAGTGAGTCTTTTCAATATAACGGAAAAATCTCAGTATGAGCGGCCCGGCCCGGCCCGGCCCGGCCTGTAACGCTTTTGAGAGGCTTATATCTCAGCAACCGCTGGACCGATTGGCCTGCGGTCTTTTTTGTTGGGTAGCCCCATCCCTTCTACCCCGTAATTGACTACTTTTGATACATCTCAGTGACCGTCGTGGCGCGTGCCACGTGAAAAGTCAAGGGTATTCAATCTGTTTTGCAAAAGTAGTGATTTTGAGATACCCATATCTCAGCAGCCGCTTGGGCGATTGGCTTGCGGTAATTTTTGTAGGGTAGCAGCATCCCTTCTACCAAAAATAGGATACTCTCGATGCATGTGGGTCACCCCCAGTGCACGTGCAAAATGCAACAATAAGAGGTGTCAAATTTGTTCCCATTTTAATAACTCGGTAATTACTGGGGCGATTTCGCTGAAACTTGGCATACAGGTAGGCACCCACCAGACAATGCATTCCCATGTGTTGCGGTTAAGGTGCTACTGCACGTGCGCACGTGCAGGGAGCGCTTCCAGATCTCGAGAACGGCTGGGCCGATTGCGCTCAAATTTGGTACACGGTTGGGGACCAGTTAGTAGGGTGCCGTCCAAAAGTCAGTTTGGACCCCGTTTGCACGTGCGCACGTGCAGAATGCCGCTTCCAGATCTCAGGAACGGCTGCGCCGATTGCGTTCAAATTTGGTACATCGCTAGCGACCGGTTAGAAGGGTGCTTTGCGCAAGCCCGTTGGAAGTACCCTCTCGCCCTTCCGCACGTGCAGGGCTCACTATCTCGCTCGCTCGTTCTTCGCCCAAAAGGCGTTTTACTGGTAAAAACTCGGTAAGTAATGGGGCGATTTCGCTGAAACTTGGCATACAGGTAGGCACCCACCAGGCAATGCATTCCCATGTGTTGCGGTTAAGGTGCTACTGCACGTGCGCACGTGCATGGGGCGCTTCCAGATCTCGAGAACGGCTGGGCCGATAGCGCTCAAATTTGGTACACGGTTGGGGACCAGTTAGTAGGGTGCCGTGCAAAAGTCAGTTTGGACCCCGTTTGCACGTGCGCACGTGCAGAATGCCGCTTCCAGATCTCAGGAACGGCTGGGCCGATTGCGTTCAAATTTGGTACAACGCTAGCGACCGGTTAGATTCTAACCGTTAGAAGGGTGCTTTGCGCAAGCCCGTTGAAAGTACCCTCTCGCCCTTCC